TCTTCTTCTTCTTCTTCTTCTTCTTCTTCTTCTTCTTCTTCTTCTTCTTCTTCTTCTTCTTCTTCTTCTTCTTCTTCTTCTTCTTCCTCCTCCTCCTCCTCCTCCTCCTCCTCCTCCTCCTTCTCTTTCTGATTCATCCATCCATCCATCCATTTATTAAAATTACCGTACAGTATATGCTGCCCGTCTCACTATCAGAAGCGAACCTTGTCTCTTTGGAACCGGAAGGCGCGATAAGGTTGACTTTCAGTGGGAAACCGTTTCAGCATACCGAACCTGGTTCCAGTGCACAACGTGGCCGCGTTCACACAAGACGCTCAATCCGGTTTCTGAATTAAAGCATGTTCTACTCTCCGGGCTAGGCTGGCTGAAGATCTCGCCAAAGGAGCTGCATCGCACAACACCCTAAACTAACCCAGATTAACATTAGCTCAGCTTAACCCAAGGAGTGGGTTGTGGGAACACAATCCTCTCGACACAGGGAAGAGAGAAGCGCAGAGAAGAGAAGAAGAACTAAGCCAGCAAAGAGGCTGGGCTATTGGCGTCCCTTGTCTGCTCTTAACCTCCTCAGGTGCAAGAATCATCGCTGACCCATCGCCAGATGTTCACAAAGGTGCTACGGCCAACCTGACCTGTGAGATTGCCAGCCAGGTAGTGGAGCCCATGAATTACACCTGGTACAAGAACAGCCAGTGGCTTTGGGATAGCCCCAGTCAGTCCCTCCTGTTGAGCGGGGTGACCAAGGAGGACAAGGGTGACTACCACTGCCGGGCAACTGGAAGAACGGGCAGCCTGACCTCAGCCATAGTCCGTCTGAAGGTGCACTGTAAGTATTGCGGCTTTAGAATGTGGTGTGCAATTTTGCCTCCTTATCAATGATACATGTCATCAGTGCCAGAAGGAAGTGAGGTTGGAGGAGGAGGAGGAGGAGGAGGAGACTGTAGGGTCCTTGGTCCTCTCTGAGCTTGGTGGTTTCCTTACAGACGTTTCATCACCAAACTAGGTAACATCATCAGTGCTAGAAGGGAGTGGGGTTTGCAGGGAGGAGGAGGAGGAGGAGGAGGAGGAGGAGGAGGAAAAAGACCATGGTGTCCTTGGTGCTCTCTGAGCTTGGTGGTTTCCTTGCAGACGTTTCATCACCGAACTAGGTAACATCATCAGTGCTAGAAGGGAGTGGGGTTTGCAGGGAAGAGGAGGAGGAGGAGGAGGAGGAGGAGGAGGAGGAGGAGGAAAGAGACCACGGCGTCCTTGGTGCTCTCTGAGCTTGGTGGTTTTCTTACAGACATTTCATCACCCAGCTAGGTAACATCATCAGTGGTGGAAGGGAGTGGGGGTTTGCTCTCATTTTATAGGTTAGCGGCCTGCCCTGCCAGTGTTGGTGGGCGTGTTCTTGGCGATTCCTTGATTAGGCTGTTGTTTACCCTTTGATCGTTTGTCGGAGCGGATCGTTCCTTGATTGGGTTATTCTTTATTGCTTGATTTTTGATCCGGGGTTAATCTTGGTGTTCACCTCTGCCGACGTGAGTGTTGGATTGCTGGCAAGGCGGTGCTGTGGTCCTTTAGCTCTTTGGGTTGGTCTCATTGGAATGGTGGGTAAACGTTGTTTATCTCCGCGTGTCTTTGGCTGTTGACCAAGGAAGCTTTGATGTTCTCGTTAACGTAGACGCGCCGGAACGGCCCTCCTTGACGGTTTACCTGGACACTCAGAATGGGAACCTGGCTATGGTCACCTGCAAAGTGGACAGCTACCCATCTTCCAGCCTGGCCATATACAGAGGTCAACTGGCTGACCCCAAAAGCTGGTCACCAGCCGGTCAGCGTTTCCACACCTTCTACTCTGATAACAGCCTGAGGCTGGAGATTCAGGACCTCACTGCCAAAGATTCGGGGCATTTTGTGTGTCAAGCTCGCAACACACTGGGCAACGCGACCAGCAGCATCACCTTCAATGCAAGATGTAAGTGGAGACTTCCCCAACCTCTCTCTCAGTTGGTGCCCTGGGGGAGGGGGGAGGGAGGGAGGCGCCTGTGCGAGTGCGCACACAACAGGAGCGCCGAGTGTGACGCAAACAGGGCCGCGAGTGCGACTCTCGCCACATCGCTAGCGCCCGCGCAGCACTTGCTGCGATGCCAGCGCGAGTGGAGGAGGGTGTGCACGCGCACGCGTGCGTGTACGCTGCCCAGCCACTCATCCAGCCCGGTAGCGGGCGGTGCCCCATAGGTTGGGGACCCCCGCCCTAGAGAGACAGGATGAAGACAACGGGAGGGTTCAGAGCTGAAGATGTATCGTGGATTGGACCGCTCCAATTTGCAACTTCTGGAGAAGTAGATTTCCACTTCTAGACTCACTAGCTGGGTCAATGCTGGTTGAGCTGATGCACACAGGCAGTCCTTGACTTACAGCCGTTCGCTTAGTGAACTTGGAAGAACTATAAAAAGATGCTGAGACTCTAGAAAGAGTGCAGAGAAGAGCAACAAAGATGATCAGGGGATTGGAGGCTAAAACATATAAGGAACGGTTGCTGGAATTGGTTATGTCTAGTTTAATGAAGAGAAGGACGAGGGGGGACATGATGGCAGTCTTCCAGTATCTCAGGGGCTGCCCCAAAGAAGAGGGAGTCAAGCTATTCTCCAAGGCGCCTGAAGGCAGGACAAGAAGCAACGGGTGGAAACTGATCAAGGAGAGAAGCAACCTGGAACTAAGGAGAAACTTCCTGACAGTTAGAACAATTAACCAGTGGAACAACCGGCCTCCAGAAGCGGTGAATGCTCCAACACTGGAGGTTTTTAAGAAGAGATTGGATACCCACTTGTCTGGAATGGTATAGGGTCTCCTGCCTGAGCAGGGGGTTGGACTAGAAGACCTCCAAGGTCCCTTCCAGCTCTCTTACTCTGTTAAAGACCCCATGTCTCTTCTTCTTCTTTTCCTGCAGGCCTCTCTGAACTGACCATCTTCAAGATCTGGGCTGGGATTGCCACTGCCTTGGTCTGCATAGCTGTCCTGGGGGGCCTGATCCTTGGATTGCGTAACAACGGCTCCCGGTGAGACTCGGCCAGGGGTCTTTGAGGAGTGGGGCAGAGTCCCTCCCAAGCTCCCCTTTAGCCTGACAGTCAGGTTAGCTAGACCCACAGAGTTAGTCCTCGAATTACAGCCAGTGGTTTAGCTACTATTCCAAGTTACAACAGACATCCCCCCCCCCATGAAGGTACTTATGAACCAGTTCTGAAATTCCCAGGGCTTCTCCCCGAGTCATGTGACCTGCATTTATGGAGGTTTGCGATGTCTCCTGGTCACGTGACTGAGATATATATGACTTCCCCCCGCCCCAGAAATCGGTTTCTGCCAAAAACTAGCCCATAACCATAATGGGTTTGGTTAATGTTGGAAATGCTGTAGGGTCTCCTGCTTGAGCAGGGGGTTGGACTAGAAGACCTCCAAGGTCCCTTCCAGCTTGATTCTATTCTATTCTGTTCTGTTCTGTTCTATTCTTACTCTATTCTATTCTTATTCTATTCTGTTCTATTCTTTTCTTATTCTATTCTTTTCTTATTCTATTCTATTCTTATTCTATTCTATTCTATTCTTATTCTGTTCTTTCCTTATTCTATTCTTATTCTATTCTTATTCTTTCCTTATTCTATTCTATTCTGTTCTATTCTATTCTTATTCTATTCTTATTCTATTCTTATTCTTATTCTGTTCTTTTCTTATTCTATTCTTATTCTTTTCTTATTCTATTCTGTTCTATTCTATTCTATTCTATTCTTATTCTATTCTTATTCTTATTCTGTTCTTTTCTTATTCTATTCTTATTCTTTTCTTATTCTATTCTATTCTATTCTTATTCTATTCTATTCTTATTCTTATTCTATTCTTATTCTATTCTATTCTATTCTAATTCTATTCTTTTCTTATTCTATTCTTATTCTATTCTTATTCTTATTCTGTTCTATTCTATTCTATTCTATTCTTATTCTGTTCTGTTCTGTTCTGTTCTATTCTGTTCTATTCTTATTCTATTCTATTCTTATTCTATTCTATTCTATTCTAATTCTATTCTTTCTTATTCTATTCTTATTCTTATTCTGTTCTATTCTATTCTGTTCTGTTCTGTTCTGTTCTATTCTATTCTATTCCCAGAATTTGCCAGAGTTGAAGTCCACAAGTCTTAAAGTTGCCTAAGTTCAGAGACCCCCTACCTTAGGAGAAGGACCCCCATGGACCACGGTACGCCAGCCCCCCCCCATCCTCCAGTGTCTCCTGGAGTTTGCCCAAATTCACGTTCGTTTGGAGGACTCTTCATTAGCTGGTGGGCCGATCTGTCCTTAGGGGTCTCCCATTCTCGCAGGACGAAACCATCCGAGTTGGCAGCTGGGTGGTAGCTGAAGGTGCCGTCTCACCCATAAATCTTTTGCAGGATATACCAGAAATGGGTAACGTGGACGAAAGAGAAGAGGAGCAAGGAGGAGGTGCAGCAGGCTGAAAACAGAGAAGACGTGATCCAGGTCCGTCCCGCGGCTGGGGAGAAATCCTGCTTAGAGCTTGGATCTGGAAGAGCTTCCTGACCATTTTTGCTTCTATACTAAGAAGAAATGGTTGCAACAGGGTTGAAGGCCACCAGGCTTCAAAAAGAGAAGAAGGCCATTCGGAAGGAAGTGGGCCAGATTTTAATATAGAGTCTGAACATTTAATTTCTCCTAGCCTCTCCAGGGCAATACGGCTATCCTATCAGCCAAGGATTTCAGAAGATGCGATCCATCACCAGTGGGGTGGGGAGATGTTAGGCACCCAAGGTCACTGTTTAGGCCTAGAAATCTTGAGCAGACAAAACACAGCCTCCTTGAAAAGGCTGGCAAGCTTGTTTGGCCAGGAGAACGTAAGAATAGAAGACGCCCAAAGTAGGAACTGGATGGTCTTCAAAAATCCATCCATCCATTCATTCATCCATCCATCAGCAGTTGCCTTGACAGCCAGCTAGACGTCCCTGGATATCCAGAACCAGGGAATGGTGGCCAAGGTGTCCCAGATATCACGTTGCCTCTGGAATCTGAGGACCTCCTGGTTCAAATTCTCAGATATCCACAAAAGGTCCACAGTGGTCAGAAAAACCAAAGCCTTGAAGGACGAGGCCTCTAGATCCATCTCAAATTACAGGCTGGGAAAGATACCTCCGGACTCAAACCTGGGGCAGCCTCTCCATCAACACAACAGCTGCCTTCCCATAGCTAGTTTCCAGGGGTCAAGAGGTGGTCCAGGTGGTGGCCCCGGTGATGAAATTAAAGCTTGCAGAGCCTCCTTCTCAGTATTGGCTTGTTCAGAGTTTGTAGAACACCCAGTTAGAGTGACAAACAGAACAACAGAATAACAGACTCAGAAGGGACCTTGGAGGTCTTCTAGTCTAACCTCTTGCTCAAGCATGAAGGCCTATAGCATTCCAGACAAGTGGCTGTTCAGTCTCTAAGAAGAGACCTCCAGTGATGGAGTGCCCACGATTTCTGGTGGCGAGCTGTTCCACTGGTTAATTGTCCTCACTGTTAGGAAGTTTCTCCTTAATTCCAGGTTGCTTCTCTCTTCAATCAGTTTCCAACCATTGTTTCTTGTCCTGGTGAATAGTTTGACGCCCTCTTCTTTGTGGCACCCCCTCAAATACTGGAAGACTGCTATCATGTCTCCCCTATTTCTTCTTTTCTTTAGACTAGCCAAACCCAAGTCCCGCAGCCGTTCTTCATATGTTGTAGTCTCCAGGTCTTGGATCCTTTTAGTTGCTCTTCTCTGAACTTTTTCCAAGGTCTCAACATCTTTTTTGTAGTATGGTGTCCAAAATGGGTTGCACTTCATGTAGGAGGGTGGAAGAGAAACAATGGATGGAAAGGAATCGAGGAGAGAAGCAACCTAGAACTTTCCTGACAATGAGAACAATTAACCAGTGGAACCTCCAGAAGTTGTGGGTGCTCCATCACTGGAGGTTTTTAAGAAGAGACTGGACAGTCACTTGCCTGAGATGTCTAGGGTCTCCTGCTTGAGCAGGGGGGTTGGACTAGAAGACCTCCAAGGTCCCTTCCAGCTCTATTCTATTCTAAGACCAGAGCAGTTGTTCATGCAGAGACACAGTGACCAGCTCCCTCCCCTGGTGTTTGCTCTGGCATCAGAAAAGCTTTCTTTGGTTCAAGTAGACCAGGGTTAGGCAACCTTGGCTCTTTTATGACTCGTGGACTTCAGCTCCCAGAATTCCTGAGCCAGCATGGCTCAGCGTGGAAACCTCTCCCTTTCTCCTCAGCATGGTTGGCTCAGGAATTCTGGGAGTTGAAGTCCACGAGTCATAAAAGAGCCAAGGTTGACTACCCCTGGCCTAGGCCTAGGCCCCTTCATGACTGGTGGACTTCAACTCCCAGAATTCCTGAGCCAGCATGGGGGAAACTATGGTTCCCTTGATGACTGGTGGACTTCAACTCCCAGAATTCCTGAGCCAGCGTGGCTCAGCTTGGAAACCTCTCCCTTTCCCCTCAGCGTGGCTGGCTCAGGAATTCTGGGAGTTGAAGTCCACCAGTCATAAGAGAGCCGAGGTTGCCTACCCCTGAAGTAGACGCCTGAGGTTCTGACTAGCTTTCTTGCTCTTTCCACAGCTGAATGCAGAGAACCCCGAAACGCCTCCGGCTGGACGGTCCTGCTTCTCCTATCGAAGGCTGCCCTGGAAGGCCGACGCTGCTCCGAAAGAGGCAGCGCCAGAGTCCAATCGCACAAGCAGCTTGTGAACCTACGGAGAGGACCTGCAGATGGGTGCGCAAGCGGGCCAAACCTGGGCTGATCAGGCTGGACAAAGGGGGGGGGGAAGTTCTGTCTGTCTGAAGGCCTTTCGAATCTTGACTCCATCCTTGCCCCAAGACTCTCTTTGTCTCCCTCTCCATCCGTGCGACGTGTTCAAATCCAAATTCAACCATTTTTGTTTTTTGTTTCTAAACGAGAACCAAGCACCACGCTAGAAAACCAGAGACTGTGAATTGTAGTCCTGTCTTAGCCAGGAACGCCAGCTGGGTGACTTTGGGCCAATTACCAGGAGATCGTGAGTTCTAGTCCTGCCTTAACCCTGAAAGCCGGCTGGCTGACTTTGGGCCAATTACCAGGAGGCCGTGAGTTCTAGTTTTGCCTTAGACCTGAAAGCCAGCTGGATGACTTTGGACCAATCACCAGGAGGCCGTGAGTTCTAGTTCTGCCTTAGGCACAAAAGCAGGCTGGGCGAGTTTAGGCCAAACACCAGGAGACGGAAAGTTCTAGTCCTGCCTTAGGCCTGAAAGCTGGCTGGGTAACTTTGGGCCAATCACCAGGAGGCCGTGAGTTCTAGTCCTGCCTTAGGCCTGAAAGCCGGCTGGGTGACTGTGGGCCAATCACCAGGAGGCTGTGAGTTCTAGTTCTGCCTTAGGCCTGAAAGCCGTCTGGGTAACTTTGTGCCAATCAGCAGAAGACTGTGAGTTCTAGTTCTGCCTTAGGCCTGAAAACTGGCTGGGTGACTTTGGGCCAATCACCAGGAGGCCGTGAGTTCTAGTCCTGCCTTAACCCTGAAAGCTGGCTGGCTGACTTTGGGCTAATCACCAGGAGGCTGTGAGTTCTAGTTCTGCCTTAGGCCTGAAAACCGGCTGGGTGACTTTGGGCCAGTCACTCTCTCTCAGCCCAACCAACCTCACAGGGCTGTCGTTGTGGGCAAAATAGGAAGACATGTTGGAGAGGTTCACTGCCTTATTTGTAAAAAAAAAAATAAAGGTGGGATACAAATAAATAAGAACAGAGGCGATTCAGCTACCGTCGACTCTCCTTTCTCACTGTTAGTCCTCCACCTCCACGGTCCATCCCAACTCTGTTATCCTGCCAAAATTGCCAGCCCAGCAACGCCCTCCTGTAAATGCATTATGCATCCGCCTCTGGAATACCGTATATAATTTCCGTGTCCACATTTGGAACAAAAGATACAACCAATAACAAAAGGATAAAAGAGAGCCGAAAAAAACAGTTCGGTTGCAAGCGTCAGAATTTTTGCAAATGGGGCCGCTTAT